CTGAATTTTCTTCCTATTGCCAGATGTAGTATCTCCACATAGCCTGCAGACAGATTCTGAGTCTGCAATGAGACAGATGCCATTCCATAATGCATTCATCCTTCATGCCAGTGTGAGAGCCTTTCCCCAACCTTCTTCTGGCTGATCATTATTTAGGTCAGATGAGAGGGCATGGAGAAAGGTGGGGAGAGAGGGAGAGAAACAGAGACTGAAGAAACCATGTCAGTATGAGATTTCAAATTTAGCATTTTTGAACCAGATGTGACAGACAGCACTCAAGAGACAGGCCTACTCTGCTTTTACTTGTGTGCTCTTGGAAATGGGCATAAAAGTTGGAGCATGAGGATGTCAGTTACAAAAACTTACAGAACAAGGACTTGTGCTAAGAGCTGCACGTCATTATAAATTCACTAACTTATCTTATTTTTTAGACACAGCCACTGCTGTACAGTCCCTTCATTTTGTACATGATCTTTAATCTGGCTCTCTGTGGCATAAACAAACCTAAGTTGGCATTTATCAGTCTAAAATGTGTCCAACTGAGGCCAACTGTTTGGATAGAGTTAAAATCTGTCATGTTTGCTCAGTTTCATTAAGGTAAGAGACCTAAGTTTATTTTCCATAGTTGTCAGTTTAGCTACTGTCACTATGATTTCTATGATCCTCATCACAGAGGGGGGTGAGCATGTTCCTGTCGGGGGGAGAATAGCAGCCCCATGTTCACCATGGTCATTTTGTCAACTGAATGTCAGCAGTGCATAAAGTAGAAGAGCCCTGGTTGTTAAAAAACCAAATGTTATCTATTCAAGAACCATCTGTGGTGGGCCAAGACATAGGCTATGTAAACAAAAGAGGGCTTGAATCCAGATTTCTGGTTCTAAAACTCTTTCTGGGTGCCAAGAGACCATCATAAATGTAAAGTTTATCAATGTTAAAAATATCATCAGTCTGTAAGTGGGAGGAATAAGGAGTCAGGATAAGTCCATATTGGTAATGAGTAGAGAGAGTTATTTCCTGGAAGGGCTTGGACAGTTTTAATACTTGGCGAGTCTTTCACCTGTCGGTGAACTCAATGCCACTCAAGCTGGCCTTTTGTCCTATTGGTAGGATAGAATGAAGGTCATGGACTTTAGCACCCAAGAACCTTGGCCCATTTATCTTCTGCGTGAACTTGAGCACACTAATTATGGCCTCTGAAATTTCATTTCACTTATAAAATGAACATAGTGCTGCTTACTTAATGCTAAGTCATAGGAATGTTGTGAGGTGTAAATGGGCATTATTGTGGCAATTATTACCACAGTCTAACACATAATGAATATTTAGACCATTGGTTCTGAACTGGGGTCAATTCCCCCTCCCCCATCTCCAGAGGACATTGGACTGTCTGAGACATTATTGCAGCTGCAGGATCAGGGACAGTAGATGTTCCAGTGTCCAGAGGGCAGCGGTCAGGGATGCTGCCAAATACCCTATGATCCACAGACAGTCCCCAACAGTAAGATGTCAAGGGACAAGACTGAGGAAGTGGCTGGATGAATAGTCACCATGCATCAGGCACCTTCCTGTCGGTGTCTGATCTCTTCAACTGTGCGGGCTCCAAAATGTGGATGCTGAACATTAAGGTTGCTAATAACACCCACTCACTTGCAAAGAACTTTTGTGTCTATTAACTCATTTAATTTTCAAAAGCAGTTGGGTTTAAGTATTAACACAATCTCCATTTTACAAGTAGGCAAACCTTGGTGTGTCCAGGTCTAGGAAACCACTCTGCTGCTTTCCGTTCTTAAGCATCATCCACACACATGTATCAAGTTTAGGTTACATGGAAGCTCAGTCTTGACTACTTTGGGTAACTGCTCCTCTATGAAATGTGATAAATACTATTCTACAGAGAGTGATTACTACAAGGACAACATGAAATGGTGCCTGCAGTGGGCACTCAAAAATCAGATCTCTATCGGTTCTCCCCAGTGGCGCAGTGGTTGAGCGCTGGGTTGCGAAGCTGCCCACAGCCTCTGCAGTGACGGTTCGATCCCCGGCTGATGGGTGAGGGCCCCACATGGCGCGCAGACCTCTCCTGCTGCCCGCTGCTCCCCTCAGCAGTATATTTTGTCTGTCTGCCTGTTCTGTTCCCCACTCTGGCTCTGGTGAATTCTCTCACCCTCCCGCGCTTCTGACTGTACCCAGTGCTTGTATAAATAAATAATCTTTAAAAACAATTATTAAAAAAAATCAGATCTCTATCAACATCCTTGTCTTTTCTTGAGGACTGGATAACGAACAGTCCTCAGTGCCCTATTTGCAAGCTTCGAGACCCCGCAAGGTGAAGCCATGCTCAGGTGCTATGTTGGGCTCCCCAGCAGAGCTTGCACACAAGTCTCAGGTTTCCAAGACCTCCTAGTCCACAGTTGCTTTGTCTGCTGAGTGATGCTGCCTGTCAGGCGCCACCCTGTGCTGGCCACCGAGACTTTGCAGGAGCTGTCAGTCCTGGTGCCGTCCAGCACCTCAGGGTTGACGCCTTGACAACTGTGTCACTGCTCTCTCATTACCTAGCGGGAGGGTCACCTTTCTGACAGACAGTTCTGAAAATTCTTTATTAAAAATATTTTTTTTTGGTAGAAAAGACAGATTACTTTATAGTTCTGACATGCTCTACTTACTATGACATGAGACGGTCTTGGTGTTTCTGTTACTTGCGGATGTTTAACTGATGGCTCTGCTCAGGTGATGTGTCACTGTGACGTATGGGTTATTTGGTCAGAACTTCTATGACCTCGACCTCTACATATTCTTTCACATAGTCACTCACATCAATTCATTTGTTCACATTCATTCATTCACTCACCTACACATTTGAACATTTACTGTGAACCAAATATACTGTCCAGCATTTATTAGATATAAAAAAAATATTCAATCCTTGATCCTGAAAATTACCTCATCTAGTAGAAAATGCCAGGGAGTGAAGAAGGTACATTTTTAAAGTGGGATTTGAAATAAAAGAAGCATGCGCTTTGCAGGGTAACTAAGGCTTTCACAGATGGAAGCCAGAATTGGGAGTGGATCTGCAGAATGGGTGCCTGCTTCTCTCTGCATGGTGATAGGGTAGGTAGCAGCAGAGGCTGAAGATGGGGTTTTGTTGGGTACACTGTCATCTGTGTGCTGGCTCCACACTGAACAGGGCATGCACAACAGTTGAAATAAGCCAGTGATACCCCATCCTGGAAGAAGGCCCGGATGCCAATTTTTGTACCAGGAGTGATCATGCTGAAGTACACAGCATGAAAACTGTCTCAGAGGGACCACTGAGTATCTGAGTGTATCAGCAGACAGCTGTAGAAAAGGAAATTACTAACCATGTTAGGGGTGGCAGAGGGGAAGTACCCCAGAATAGGTGATATTTGATCAGGGCATTAAGTAATCAGAGAGGCTCATCTTGTGGGGAGAAGTGAGGGCATGTGGGAGAGCAAAGCAGAGCCTGATGCCTTCCAAAAGGATGATGGTGTGGTCAGAACAAAAGACAGGGAAGGATGAGGAGAGGTGGTCCTTGAGGGCACTTTGGGGGCATTTGAGTGGTGGACCATGGGGATCTGGCCTCTCTCCAGTGGGACTTGCTGGGCTTGTGTCTGATTTGCACAGAGGAGTGGTGCCTGGTAGGCTCTGCACTGTAGACATTTCTTTGGACTCTGGGTGCAGTGCAGGGTTGTAACGGAATGGACTGGATGTGCAGACAGGAGGCAGAGAATCTTCAGGCAACTTGAAACCACTGCAGGGAGAGGTGGTGAGGCCCTCCTGGCTTCACCCTGGCAGAAAGCCTCATCCCCCTTGCAAAAACGGGTGGCCCATTCTTCCAGCAGATATTTAAAAGTTAAAAAAAAAAAGTGGAAAAAGACCTAAGATGAGTTTCCTAAGCACAAATTTGAAAAACAAAACTAAGACATGTTAAATACCAGTGGAATTTGCAGTGCACACACTGCATGGAACAAATGTGTGAAGAAATCAGCAAAGGTGAAGTGTGGAATCGGGCCTAAGAAAAGGGGGACTGATAAACCTGTTTGTTAAATTGCCAAAGTGATAATGCACTGTCATTCCCATGCACATGTGAAATGTGGGACTGGGTTGTGTGTGGCAATGTATGGGGCACCTGCCATGTTTCATCAAGCACTTTGCTCAAGGTACAACAGCTATTGTCTCCATTATTCTTAATAATGACTGCAAAACAGACTTATTCAGACTTGAGGTTCAAACAGTTTAGGGCTTTGCTCCAGGTCACAGTACATGTAGAAATGGATTTGAACCCAAGTCTGTCCAGCTATCAAGTCCTCTGTGCTAGTGCAGATGGCTGGCACTGCAGATCCACCATCATAGGGTGAGACATGCCTGCACATTGTTGTTATTATCTTCCTTCCTGGACATTGACCCAGGTCTTTAAAATACTGCTATGAGCAGAAAAGGTGAAGATTTTGTGAATGGAAATGCAGGGAATAAAACAAAGAACCAAATTTCTACCTCTAACTTTTGTTTTGGGCTTGAGTCACCTCACTATTCTATTTAAATATGAAGTTTTTCTTCGGTAAAGTAAAAAAAAAAAAAGGACTAAATCTTGTAACATACATCCTATGTTGTATATTTCTAAGATTCTATGCCCTGAGTTGAGCTTGTGATCATGTAGTAGCAAGTAACATGGTAAAATGTAATGGTCTTCACTCTTACAAACCAATCTAAAGATAAAATATGAAGTAATTGTCTTCAGTTTCAGAAATGAGTGGACTGTTACAAACCTTGGAGAGTTTCCAGTTTTAGCATATAAAAAAATGAAGGTATTCAATTAAATTTGAATTTCAGATAAGTAACACATGCTTCCTTCTACAAGTGTATTCCATGCAGTATTTGGGACATAGCTACACTCAAACGTTTTCATGGTTTTCCCCTAAATTTTAATATTGCCCAAGTGTCCTAAATGGTAGCCGACAACCAAAATCTTTGATAAAATAAAAATGATGTTAGAAGAAAAAGTTGAGGAGGACATGGAAGAGCTGGTTTCCAGGCCCGTGGATAATAGTGAGAGAAATGTGAGAGAAATTCACATATTTAGTGAGAATAATAGTGAATAATAGTGAGAGAAATTCACAGAAATGAAATTTTCATATTTGTTGAGACAAAGATAATTAGCAGAAAAATGGTAGGGAGATATAGTAACATCAGTAGCCTCCTAGGAGAGCAGGAGAGAACAAGTAAAACCATAGCAAATTCTCCTTTTCAAGAAAGGAGTACAAGACACAGTCACATACTGTCTACAGTGGGTGGATCATGAAGTAGAAGCATAAAGATTTTTTTAGCATGATGTTGGTAATTACCAAAGAACAAAAAATGAAACAATTAAACATTGTTTTCTCTGTGCAGTGGGGCTTGGAAAGTGGATAAAGAGAAAGATAGTTATTTTTCATTTTATTCTACCCTGATTCAATTTTCAAATTTTATGCTATGGATAAAATAAGATTGAAAATAAAATACATTAATCATTCTTGCTGTCACCATCATTCAGCAAATTACAAGATTTTTGTTTGTGCATGTTCTCAATCTCAGGTTTATTTTATTTGCCTCTACCACCTTAATTTGTGTACAAAGCTATTACCAATCATTTATAAATCCAAAGAACAAACAGATAACTGCTAATGTTTTGCCTGATATGGCGAACATGTCTCCATGTTTCCTAGTATAAAAAAAGGCAGAAACCTTCAGATGAATTAACGTGGTTCCTTTAATTTAAAACCAATATTTGCAGAGAAGCATTCCCCTAGCATGGCTTTAATTGTGAGATGCTATCCATTACCTTTAACACATATTTACAAATGAATTATGCTCTCATGAGAGGAAAGTAAAGTACTAGTCAGAGCAGAGTTTGGTTGATTTGCTCAGGATTTGATTGATCTAATTTAGAAACTGATGAATTTTTACTTGGCACTTTCATTCATTTGGAAAGAAGGCATATGAATTCAACAGAGGCTATCAGAAAAAGACTTGCATTAAGAAGTCATTGGATACTGAAGCTTGACTCTGTGTGTGAGTTAGTGTGTGTGTGTGTATGTGTGCATGTGAAAGAGAGACAGATACACAGAGACAGTGATTGAGACAGAGACACAGAGCGAATATAGCATGACTAACAGATGTATGGTTTGGACAATAACTTCATTGCTGATTCCAAGGCAAAGTCCCATCAGGAGACTACATGTCCTGCTCTATACATAACATTGTAGTTTGTGATTAATGTCACTTCTAACTGAAAAAACCATAATGTACCCCACAGCCCACAAACCTCAAGTCATCTAACTTCAGACAATCTTTCCAGCCCTTGAACAATGCTGCCATCACCAACTGGGTGTGATGACACCAACTGTCACATATTTTCAATTACATGCCTTGAGTCCCCCCAGAAGCCATCCTCCACCCAGAAGTTGTAAAGCTGAACACGTGCTGCACATGGCCTGCTGGTTGTGCTGAGAGCATGTCACTAAGTCAGAGGAGAGGAGGAGACAGAGGAGAGTTGGGCTGTTAACAAACAGAGCCCTGTGCAGCCTCTGCAACAATGGGCCTTGAGATGCAACACCATCTTCTGCCTTGACCAGATTGAGCCAAGTCAACAAAGTTGATCAAATGTGCCTTTGGAAGTATGCAGTTGTGGGGACCCTGGAAAGTTGTGGCCACTTGAAAGGGCTTTCTAGTTGTAATAAGGGGCTTAAAAAGTATTAACAACTGTTTTCAAGTACTTGGTAGGCTCTAGGTGTTCTATGGAGAAGTTGAGTCAAGAAATCCAATTTAGACTTGTCAGACACCCTTGCTGACCTCACAATAGTGGATAAGCTCTTTCCAGGTAGGGCCTGAGGATGGCTCAAGATTAAGGTTTGTCCATTGAGGATGTGGCTTCTTTGCTTCTCTCTTCTATTGTTTCTTCTCTCTTCTTTTTTGGTTCCTATTGCAGTGGTTTTTGTTGAATTTCTTTTCTGTTTTTTACCTAGGTCTTACTCCTTTCGTGTTTTCCTTTTTCACATAGCACAGAATTTTCTGGACTGCACCAAATATTGTAACCATAAGAGATGAAAGACTGTTTTCTATAGATCCAACATCACAAGGGGAAAAAATAATCTATATAACTAATGCAAAATAGGCCATTAAGTGTCATTCTTTAGATTTTCTTATTTTTTTTTAAATTAGGAAAAAAAAAAACCTTCTAAATTATTGCTTGGCATGGATAGAATTGTATAGGAATTTAAGAGGA